AGAGCAGCTTCCCTGCAACCGGGCAGGCGTGTGTGTGTGCAGTGCGTGTCTGCTGATAAGGGTTCGGCCTCTGCGTTCACAGCCTTTTCAGTGGGGTCGGCAAGGCTTTTCCTAACACAGGGTCGGGCTCCTGGGATGCCCTCCCCGCTTCCCCCTGTGGCTTTGCCCTACTTCCAACCGGAGCCCCCACTCCCGACCCCGCGCTGGTGAAACCTTGGCAGGCACAAACTTGCACAGCAAACTCCCCTCCCTGCTCAGGAGCCTCTTCTGTCCTGACTTGCCCCTTTGGCAGTCGCTGGGTTTGGGGGGCTGTTCTGGGAGCAGGGATGGAGCGGCCCCCCTACCTGCTGTGGGTGCACCCAAGTGATGGATTTTTGGGGAAAGCAGTCCAGAGACTGGCCTGAGTATTGCTTCCAGGGAGCCCACAGGGACACGGAAGGCCACCCTTCAGTGGATTGGGCTTGATGGGAGTTTCATCAATATGGAATAATCTGAATCAGATGTGGATATTTCTCCTTCTTCTGGTGGGACTTGGGGTTGTTCCACACACACCCCTGGCCTGCCCCATAGTTGCTGGTCCAGGGTGGGAGTCTGGCACCCTAACTGAGCTCCCTCCCACCTCAGGAGAATTCCACCCAACTCTCTCTTTTGGCTCTAAAACTTTGCTGGTCGCTGGCTTGCCATTTTCTTGGGGTAAAGGGCAAGATTAACAAGTAGAAACTGGTGACATTGATGATTATTTGTGGTTAGGAGTTGGCAATGAGGGAACACTCTTGTGATGACAAAGCCATGGAATTCTGCATGGTGGTTATCCTGGGCTGAGAAAGTTCAGCACCTAATAAGAGCTAGAAAGTAATCATGCTCTCTCTCTCTCTCTCTCTCTCTCTCTCTCTCTCTCTCCTCCCCCTCTACCCTTGGAACATCCAGCAGGAGCAGAAAAATGAAGGCAGGCTGCCCCATTGTGGAGAAGCCAGAGGGCGGAGGAGGTAAGAATCCCACCCATCGAACCCTTGGGCTCTGTGAATTCAGAGGCCGGACCTCTTCTCGGAAGCTTGACGCCTTCTTTGTCTGTGAAGAAACTGTCCTGTTTTCTCCTTCCTTGAGATGTTATCTTGGCAGATGCCATTGCTTCAGGACTGAGCCAGGCTGTCGGCCTTGCAGCTAGATTTAGGGGGCTCTCCAGACAGGACAGCAAAGTGATAAGGTGGTTGGGGGGGGCGTGGAAAGACACTGCAGAGGCGCTCTGACTGCGTAGCGGTGACCATATCAGTCCACGAGTCTTGAGACCGCTTGGAACTGTTGATGATGTGAAGCAGGACGGAGGAACTGGACTTCAGCTGCCACCGTCCTCCTCGCCATTGGTCAATTTCCATGCTGGTTGCTGGGAGGTGGAGCCCTGCAGGGTCTAGCGGTGACCATATCAGTCCACGAGTCTTGAGACCGCTTGGAACTGTTGATGATGTGAAGCAGGACGGAGGAACTGGACTTCAGCTGCCACCGTCCTCCTCGCCATTGGTCAATTTCCATGCTGGTTGCTGGGAGGTGGAGCCCTGCAGGGTCTAGAGGACCTCACAGGTCCCTGATCCCTCGTGTCAAAGAAGCCAAAACGGTGCGAGAGCCAGGGACTGCACAATGCTTCCTACTGGAATCTTGCACCTCAGAATAATAATAATAATAATAATAATAATAATAATAATGATGATGATGATGATGATGATGATAATAATAATAAAGAAAGAAGCAGCAATAGTTTTAATAGCCAGGTGACCACCGCAGAGGCTCTCTCCGTGGAGAGAAAGTGGTTCTTCAGCAGTTGGGACCCTCATTCCTCTTCTGCCCCTGAAGCTCCCTCTGTCTTTGGCCTTCTCTCTAGGCTACCACTTCCCAGACTGGGCCTACAAGACGGAGTCCAGCCCAGGCTCCCGCCAGATCCAGCTCTGGCACTTCATCCTGGAGCTTCTGCAGAAGGAGGAGTTCCGGCACGTCATTGCCTGGCAGCAGGGGGAGTACGGGGAGTTCGTCATCAAGGACCCCGACGAGGTGGCGCGGCTGTGGGGCCGGAGGAAGTGCAAGCCCCAGATGAACTACGACAAGCTCAGCCGGGCCCTCAGGTGAGGGGTAGCAGGGTGCGGGCCCAGGGAATGTGGGAGTTGAGGGCCTGAGTAAGAGGAGCTTGGCCCTTGTCTTGTCAACAAAGTCACCCCTGTCAGGTCTGAAATGGGCCCTGGGTGAGATTTCTGCAAGGGCAGAAGGCTGGGCTCTTCTCTGGCTCCTAACTAGGTCAACATGGGACTTGCTCTCTGTGGTTTGCAGGGTTCTGCAATCTGAAGTGCTTCGGGTGCAATCCTAGGCCTGTGTTCCAAGCGATAAGGAGTCCTTTCGAAGGCAGAAGGTTTTCCTCTGAGAATTGTGCTGTCAGCCTTCCAGGAAGTTTCCCAATCCTGTTCTGTGTCTGCTCTTGAAAGTCCAGAGGGTGGAGGGTACAAAATGGATCCCTTGATCAGCCACAGCTGGCTTCCTGGGATTCAGTTCCCTCATTGTGGAAGCGAGGCTTGAATGTAGGCGTGCTGTTTAGGGTGGCACACCAAGTTTCAGGCTTGCAAATTTGGAAGGGATCCCAAGGGTCATCTAGTCCAACCCGCTGCAGTGCCGGAACTGCAGTCAAGTCATAAGAACATTGGCAGAGCCTGACGGTTGGCTCAGGTCCTGGGGGCTCATTTAGTCCAGCATCCTGCCCCCACAGTGGCCAGTCAGGTTCCTTGTTGGGAAGCTCACAAGCCCTGAAGTTTCCAGCAGCTGTCACTCAGAGGCGGGAGAACAGAGCCATCAGCGTTCGCAGCAACCATTCAGAGGTCTCTCTTAGCTGAAAGGTTCAGGGTCTTACAATCTTGGCTGTTTGGGGAGGGGGCAGTCCTTGACTGAGAAGCCCCCCTGGACTCTCTCTGGGCTAGAGAGGGCTAACTGGGGAACAGGCTTGTTCAGACAGGAGAAGAGGTGGCACGAGAGCCATGCTCAAAATATCTGAAGGGCTGTCACATGAAAGATGGAACAAGCTTGTTTTCGGCTGACCCAGGAGATAGGACCCAATCCATAGATTCAAATGACAGGAGAGGACATTCTGAGTAAACATCAGGAGGAACTTTCTGAAAGTAAGAGCTGTTCCGCTGTGGAACAGAAGGTGGTGGACTCTCCTCCTTTGAAGGTTTTTAAGCAGAGGTTGGCTGGCCACCTGCCAGGGACCCTTTAGTTGTGATTCCTGCATTCCAGTTAGGTTAGATGACCCTTGAGGTGGTCCCTTCCAGCCCTACAATTCTGTGTTTCTGTGACTCTAGGAGTGGGGTGGTTGGGACAGGCCCACTGCAGATCTGGGGTGCTGTATCTAGTGCAGGAGTCTGGCTGGTTCCTGCCATGGGCTCTGCTTCCACGATGCATCTGTTAGGGCTGCTGGGGTGCCTCTTCTTGGTCCTCTGCAAGGCTCCCTGTCCTTGCCCCCCCCCCCCCCCGCTCTTCTGGCTCTCTCGCCCCCTCCTCCTCCCGACGAGGCAGCCAGAGCTGTTGAGCCAGCGCCAAGACCTGAGGGCGCACGCCAAGTGGTGAACAGGTTGCCTCTTCCGTCTGGCTTCTGTCCCCGGGAGGTGGTGGCTGAGCAGAGGGCAGCCCACGGACTTGGCCGCTGCTCTGCCCTCTGCTCAACTCCTCGGTGGCGGAGGCCGAGATCAGCAAACAAGGCGGCAACCTGTGCCTAATGGTAGAGGAAGGAAGTGACAGGTCGGAGGATGCAGGCCCAGCCATTGATCCCAGGGAGGAGGAGAGGCAGAGCCCTGCCCTCGCCGCCTCCAGGAGCCTCTAAATGGCACTGGGGAGACAAAGCAGCACGGCTGGCCCAACAGGTTGACAGGAGGAAACCCGTCTCCCATTGTGTTCTTCCCTTCAGGCGCCTCTTTCAGGAACAGCGGAAGCTGCCTTCTGTCTTACCCAGTATTGACAGCACGGATTGGCAGAATTAGCAGCTTGCCTGGTTGTGGTCTGCGAGGACGTTCCTCTGCCCTGCCTGGAGACCCCCGTGGGGACTGGGCCCATGAATCTTCTGCGTACAAAGCAGATGTTCCATTAACGAGCTCCAACCCTCCCTGTAAAACCAAAGGAGGCTTCTAGGTGTTGCAGTCTTATGCCAAGGCAGACTCTTGGTCCATCTAGCTCAGTATTGTAGACACTTGACTGGCACCAGCAGCTCTCCAGGGTTTCAGGCCGGGGACGTTCCCAGCGCTAGCTGGCCATGCCAGGGATGGAACCCTTCTGCAGCCAAAGCAGGTGTTCTCACCACTGAATTACGGCCCCTGTCTTACAGAATCTCAACTAAGATTCCAGTCCTTGTGTTTCCAAATAAAGGAATGTGGGAGGCTTCCGGGGATTGAACCCAGGGACTTCTGCAGGCAACCCCAGTGCTTCCCCCACTGAGCTGCCTGGACGGAGCATTCCTCACAGCTGGCTGGCGCCCTTATATCCTTCCTTACTTTATTTGGCAGATACTACTATAACAAGCGGATCCTCCACAAGACGAAAGGGAAGAGGTTCACCTACAAGTTCAACTTCAACAAGCTGGTGATGCCCAACTACCCCTTCATCAACATCCGGCCAACAGGTAAGAAGAAGGGCTTTGAGTCAGGCGGAGGACGTGGGGCCACCCATTGCAGGTCCATCCCAAGAGCAGGGGAAGGTATATGGGGACCACGGAGGTCAAGGGAGAACTTCAGTTCACTTCCCACGGAAAGGCAAACCAGCGCCAACACATACTTTCCAAAAGAGCCGTTGGACAGCAGAACGGAGTCCCTCAGAAGGACTCTCCTCCCTTGGTAGTTTTCAAACCCTACAATTCTGTGTTCCTGTTACCGCAGAGGAAAGAAGCTGCTGTCTTGGAACAACATTAGAGCTCCTGCAGGAACAAGTCTGGGCAGTTGCTGCCCGATGTTGCTTGTTCCAGTTCCCTTTCTTCTTCCTCTCGGGTCCGCCCTGCACTCGCCTCTCTCTCTCTCTCTCTCTCTCTCTCTCTCTCTCTCTCTCTCTCTCTCTCTCTCTCTCCCCCCCTCCCTCCTGGCTGCCTGGGGCTGGCACTGAGCAGGCAAGGAAGGTGCTGGAGTCCTGGAATGCCTCCCAGTATGATTGCAGCTTGTTTTCCTTCTTCTCCCCTGTGGGGAGGTTGACGCAACAAACCTGTTTGGCCCTTGCCTCCTTTGCCCTCGCCCCAGATATTGGCGCTTCCTTTCTTGTGGGAAGTGGCAGCCTAGGTGGCGTGTGGGGTCTTTGTGCCTGAGGGTTTCCCCTACGCAGGAAAATGGGAGGCCACGCCAGCCATTCCAGGCCAAAGATGATTTTTCTGTTGTTGCTGTTGCTGCTGCTTTTTTATCCCACAAGGTGGCATATATGGGTCTCCCCTCTTCCAATTTAATCCCCACAACAACCCTATGAGGTAGATTAGGCCGAGAGATTAGATTAGCCACTTTCCTGGCTTGAGTGGGAATTCGAGCCCTGGTCTTGCCCACGCCCTAGTCCAACACAATGATGATGAGGATAATTTATTATTATTTATTAAACCCACCCCCCAATCTGGCTGGGTTTTCCCAGCCACTCTGGGCGGCTCCCAACAGAATATTAAACAGAATAAAACATCAAACATAAAAAACTTCCCAAAACAGGGCTGCCTTCAGATGTCTTCTAGAAGTCTGGTAGTTGTTTATTTCCTTGACATCTGATGGGAGGGTGTTCCACAGGGCAGGCGCCACCACCGAGAAGGCCCTTTGCCTGGTTCCCTGTAACTTGGCTTCTTGCAGAGAGGGAACCGCCAGAAGGCCCTCGGAGCTGGACTTCAGTGTCCGGGCTGGAAAATGGGGGTGGAGACGCTCCTTCAGGTCTACTGGGCCTTTGAGGCCGTTTAGGGCTTTCAAGGTCAGCAGCAGCATGCGAAAGGCCCCTTGCCCACCCTCTTGGGCATTACAGTTGGCAGAGTGGGGGCCTCATGGCTGTGTTCAGGGTGGGTGTGGCTGGGTTCTCCTTGGCAGCCCCCTAGTTGTGGTGTCCCCTTTCCAGAGAAGTGCGTTTGGCACCTTCCTGATACACTGCAGCCTCACCTTTCCACTCTGGGCCTTTGACCCTGGAGATACCTCCGTGTGTTTCCAGCTCCCACCCTATTCCCGCAATTTGTTTTAAACTGTTTTGGATAATTGAACCTTAAACTGTTGCCACCTGCCCTAGCACCTGATGGTGAAGGGCAGGCAAGAAGTTGAATAAATAAGAATGAGGATGATAATTTCTGTGGGCTGGAGCTTTGAGAGGGGGGTTGTGAGACTTGGTGGGCAAGCCCCTGCAGAACCCCCCTGCCCCTCGTAATGCTCAGACAGGCCTCCATTCCTCACGCCCCTCCGTCTCCTTCCTCCTCAGGTGTCGTCCCCCAAAGCGCCCCTCCTGTCCCGTCGGCCTCGTCCCACTTCCAGTTCTCCCCACTGGACGGCCACTCGCCCACCGAGGACGCCCAGCCCAGCCGCTTCTCCGGCCGGCCCCTCGCCTCGTCCGCCCAGGAGGCCCTGAACAACGGCAGCCGCGGCGAGAAGTCTTCTCCGGCTCCGGAGCTGGAGGGAGGCTCTCCGGACTGGCGCCACGGAGTGGACCTGCTGGCTTCCCGCAATTCCGCTGCCGCTGCCGCCGCTTCCGCAGGTGGGGCGAGCCACCAGAAGCGTAAGCCGGACTTGGTGCTGCCCCTCTTTGGACGGTCGGGGATGTACCCCGACCCGCATAGCCCTTTCGCCGTCTCCCCCCTGCCGACCCGCGGAGGGGTCTTGAACGTGCCCATCTCGCCCGCCCTGTCGCTGACCCCCACCCTCTTCTCGTACAGCCCCTCGCCCGGCATGAGCCCCTTTGCGGTGGGCGGCAGCTGCTTCTCCTTCAACCCTGAGGAGATGAAGCACTACCTTCACTCCCAGGCCTGCTCCGTCTTCAACTACCACCTCAGCCCAAGGACTTTCCCCCGCTACCCGGGCCTCCTCATCCCGCCCTTCCCCTGCCAGCTGCCTCCGGAGGACCCGGCCCAGTTCCCCATCAAGCTGCAGCCCCCGCCTGCTGGCCGCAAGAACCGCGAGCGGCCGGAGAGTGGCGGCAGGCCTGGGGCCCCTCCGCTGTCCTCCCCCCAGATCAAGGTGGAGCCCCTGCCGGACCGCCAGGAGCCCGAGGGCAGGGAGTCCCCAGGGCGAGAGGTAGGGTGCCGCTCAGCCACCGAGTCGCCCACCTGCAAGAGCGCCCAGGAGCAGCGGGAGAAGACCCTCTTTGCGCGGCCCGTGGCCCCCTCCTGGCCGGCGGCGGCAGCTACAGCGGCTCAGCCCCCGGCGCCCACCCAGGCTGACCTTCTGGCCGACGAGAAGAAGCCCAAGCAAGAGGACGTCTCCGTTGAGAAGCCCCCGCGAGAGACGATGGGGGAGCCGCCGGGGGCCCCGGAGAGGAGGGAGGACTCTGCCGCTGTGATGCCCCCCAAACTGCGCCTGAAGAGGCGCTGGATCGACGACCGGCAGGCGGAGGGTCTGAAAGAGGAGCAGGGGGGCAGGAAGCCCTACTGGGGAGCCCTGGACACCCCACACATCCTCCTGGCCCCCAAAGCTGCCGTGGATACTTAGGACTGTAGAGGCCCCATGGCAGTGGCGGTGTTTGTGTGTGTCTGCTTTGTACTGTAGCAAGGTTTGCCTAGCCAGGAGGGAAGGGGACCGAGGGGAAAGGCTAGAATGGTTTTATGAATTCTAGGGGTTGTGTGTGTGTGTGTGTGTGTGTGTATTGCAGGCAAGAGGCTGTTTGTGTCAAGGCCTGCCTTGTCTGCAGCCATGTGGCCCCGTCTAGGGCCACTGCCCTGCCTCCTGGTGGGCTTCCACTGACGGGAAAAGACTCTTTTCTCTTGAATTCTGCCCCCCTCTCCCCTTACGGTCTTTTACAGAAGCAAGAATCTGTCTGAATGTACATAGTTCTTTTCTCTGGCGGTGGGGGGCGGGCAGACCAGGCGGAGGACTTCCTAGCCATTCAGAACTGGAAATGTGTCTCGTTATCAAGCTAGGAAAACGCTTTATTTAGCCACCAGGACGTTGCACTGTCTTTGATCCTTTTTCAAAAGCGGGGATAGCAGGAAGAGCAGAGGGAAATGAGACTTGGCCGAGCTGGCGGCTGCCCCCTGGGGCAGGGGAGGGCCTGGGGTCCAGGCCGGCTAGAATGAGGGCTTGGCAACCATAAGTGTTACTTTTAGGACTTTGCTGGGGGGGGGGGGGAGGGGGACACACCGAATGGTCACGTTTTTTAAGAAACTTTTTTTTGAAAAATATCGAAGAAGCCATGACGAGCAATTGTAAAACCTTTTCAGGGATGTGCAAGGAATGTGGTTGTAAACGAAAACCTTGAATGCCTTTAACAAGACCCCCCCCCTTTAATTTCCCTTGGTGGTTGTGGGCAAGGGGCGCTGGGGGGGCAACGGAGCTGAGAAGCGGCTGGGAGCTCCCACAGAATGACTTTATCGGGGCATCTTTTTCTTCCTCCCTCTTTTTGGGGAGCGCTGGGAGGGGAATGCTCCCCCGGCCTTTTCTGTCTTGCCTTAACTGCCTGCTTTGGAGACAAGCGCTGGGAAACAGAGAGGCTTCTGCTGGGGGGGGCAGAGGGTGTTGTTTTCTGTGGAGGGGGCACGTAGCTCAGGGTGTGAAGACGGGCCTGGGTCCTTCTCGCGATTGCAGCATGGCGGCAGTGCTGGAGAGTTGGCAGCAGTGTTGGGCAGGCTGGGTCGGGTTGCCCGTCTTCTGGTGCCCGTGGGGCGTGTGGTGGGCAGGGCAGCCCTGCGGCTGCTCCTCTTCCCCCTTCTCCCAAGGCGGCCCAAGGAAAGGGAGAAAGCTTGTGCATGCAGGCACTCTTCTTTGACTCCCCAAGGGTGACCCCGCAGAGATGGGGAGCTCATGACAAGTTCCCTACAAGAGCGGCGTCTTCCAGTGCCCCTTCTTTTTGCTGCCACTGCGAAGGCGAGGATCCCCTTCCTTCCTAGCACGCTTGTTGGGGTTTGCGGGCAGCCGTGGCCCCAACGCAAAGATTGCCCCTGTGCAAACTCTCGCTTTGCCTCTTTGAACGTCCCCTTGCCAGTGTCTGCCCCCCTACAACGGACCAGGTTCGGGGAATTCCTGGTGCGGTCCGGTCCCCGTCCCCCCCAATGAGCAATGTCAAACTGCTGCCTCTTCTCTTTGGGCTTCGGGACATCAGGGAAGCTGTTGGCGACCAGTTTTACTTCAAGACTGGCAAGGATGACCAAGTCGAATACTGTTTTGGGGACGGAAGTTTTGGGAACGGGGAGGCTCTCACCCCAGTGTCATGGGCTGTGCCCCCCTCAAGAGCTGTGTGGCTCTTGCTGGTCTTCACGCAAGCCCCCCCCCCCTTTGGTGTTGCCCAGCATCCTGCGCACAAACAGCCTTATGAACGTTGGGGGGGGGGGCCTGCAGCGCTTTCCCCCGGACAGGCAGGGTTTGGCGGAGATGGGCTCAAAACTCAGGGACTGAAACATGACGGCCTTTTCTTCCTCCTCCTCTTCTTCTTCTTCAAATGAGTACATGCAAACCTTCAGTCTATTGTACCCAAGTGCCAGACGCCACGTCAGGCAGGGCTGGGGGGTTGATGGGGGGGGGTTGCTCGTGAGAAATCCCATTTGCACTTCTTCAGTGAGAATTCGTGTCTTAAAAACAAACACCCTAACCTTTGCTGTCCTTTTTCTCCTCTGCCCCCCCTCCCGCCGATAGCCATGGCAGTGCAGAGCGGACATGCCCTGTTCAGGGATGGTGGCGAAAGGGCTCAGGGTACCGGAAGGGCACAAGGGAGGGGGGCAAAGCGAAGTGATCTGCTGTGTGCGTTGGGAGGGCGGATACCTTCCACCTTCGGCTGGCTCAGGGAGCCATCGCTGTGGCTTTGCAGGGGCCGCAGCAGGCAAGGCCCCTTCCTGGCTTCTGAGGGGAGGGGCTCCCCTTTTTCTCCTGCAGGAAAAAGCAGCCACACGCTTTGAAGCGTCTCTCCCGTTGTGCCAAATACTCAAGCCGGTGGGCGGCTGAACTCCTGTATTGCGACTAATCGAGAGCGTGTTGACCTTTCTTTAACGAGAATTAAAATACCTTTTCTTTGGGGGGGGGGACAGCGTTTAGATTTTGCTGGCCTTGGGAACGTCAGGAAGCAAGGAAGCTGCAAAGCTTGCAACCTGGCTGCCCAAAAGCCTGGCAGAAGGAGGAGGAGAGTGGTTCTTTCTCGGGGGGCGGAGAGGGTGAATGAGGGCACCTCCACTTCTCCCCACCCCATACACACAGACACACACACTGACCTCAGGCCTGACTCAGCCTCTCCTAACGTCCGGGTCCATTTCCTGGCTCGCCCCGAAAGAGAGCAGCGGGCGTGTTGAGTCTTGCCGCTCCTGGGTCATGGGGCGGCGTGCGTGGCTCATCGCCCGGGACTCCTGCGTCAGGGGATGCCTAATCCCCAGGAGCACCTCGCCCTGGGACGGAGCCGGACTTTGAGGCCCAGATCCACCCTGGGTTCCCTTCCTTCCCGCATGTGGCGAAGGTGGCGCCCGCTGCTGCCGCCTCTCTCGCTTTGGCCAACTAAGAAGCCATTTCCTGTTACCCACCCTTCCTGGGGAGGGGGGGGACCCCAACCTCTGCCCCCCAGACACTCTGGGGCGCTGTTGCCGAACTGCTATTTTTAGGGCAAGGCGCCCCATCCCAAACCTTGGGTTCCCCTCCGCACACACAAAAACCTACATACACACATGCAGCCAGTCAGGTCATGGGTGATGCATAAAGTCTGCACTTCTCCCATGAAGACAGGTAGAAAGGGGTTTTATCTAACCTTCAAGGGAGGTTTATATTTGCTTGGTTGCCCTTTTAATTCCATAACTGTTTTCGCTTTTTAAAGAAATGTAACTTTTTTCTCATTTTCCCCCCCGTCTTACGGATCCTGATGGGTTTTCAAGAGAGCTATGTCTTTGGTTTGGAATACTTTTGATTAGAATTATTTTAAAAGAAACGAAACAACTTTGATTTTTTATTTGATTTTTTAGTGTTAAAGTGACAAAGTATTTACCGACGACTTTTTAAAATTTATTATTATTGTTAAATCATTTTTCATGAGACATGGTCCTGTCTTTATGATGCTTTGAGAGTCAGCAGGGAGTAAAACACATCCGAACGGCAACTCTAACGCTTGAGGTATTTTTATTTTGTCTGTGTAAAGCAGGATTAAAATTGTGTGTAAAAAAAAAAATTTTTTTTTAAAGGAAAAAAAATGTAAGTAGTCCTCATGCTTTTGTGCAGTGCCTTTTAGACGTTCCACTTTCTATAAAGTCTTCAAAAAAAAAAGTTTGCATATATATTATATATATGATGTAATGTTATAGAAATATATGTATAATATACATATTTTTTCCAGGGGTATCTGATAGCTCTGTATTTTGTTATGGAAGTTGATATGAAAAGTATTTTACCTCAAATTTAAAAAAGTTAAATAAACCTTTTAAATAAGCCTCCCAGAGTCCTTTGAGTCTTTTGCTTTCTTGCAGCCTGGTAGGGACAGAGGCGAGATCCAGGGAAGAGGAGAGAGAGATGGAAGCTGAGCTCCATGGAGAACCAGCCTGTGCAACTGGGTTTAGTTATTCTGTCATCAGCTCTGCCCATTGCTCACCACAGCCATGGCTCAGTGTATGGAGGGCTTGTGCCTGGTTCTGAAACCCTGCCGCTGACCCATAAGGCACCTTGTTAATTTCCTCTTAAATCGTCCCTTAATTCGGAAGCTTGAGGACTAGAATCTTGGGTTTTTAGCTTAGTGTTAGAGCACCTGCTTTGAATGCAGAAGGCATTCAATCACCATTGGCATCTGTCCCCTGCCTGAACCCCTGGAGTGTTGCTGCTGGTCAGTCCAGACCAGGCTTCCCCAACCTCGGCCCTCCAGATGTTTGGAGACTACAATTCCCATCACCCCTGACCACTGGTCCTGCTCGCTAGGGATCATGGGAGTTGTAGGCCAAAAGCATCTGGAGGGCCGAGGTTGGGGAAGCCTGGTCTAGACGAGAGAGAACTAAGTGGGCTTGGGATGAGGCTGACCCGGTAGGAGGAAGCTTCCTTTGTTCTGCAAGGACTGTGCTTTGAAGGCCCTGGATGCAACAAGAGGAGTAAGGAGCTCTGAGTCTGTCCTACCCTGAATTTCCAAGATGGAAGAGAAGGGGAGGCTATAGAAATGCAATCAAGTCCAGCGCGCTACATTGTCATTTTTGTCATGTTTTGTCTTGGGAATGCTTTGACCCGGGTTCAAGGTGCTCCTAGAAGAAGCTTGAGCTCAGCTGTGCATGTCTCAAACATCATTCCTATGTTACCCTTAATTGTAGACAGATCAGGGAGGGATAGGTCGGTACCGCACAGCTTGCAATTTTCAAATTTGTAAAGCCTGAAAACAAACTGGTAAAAGTGCAGAAAGCTTAAAATGAACCAAAACCCCCTTAAAACACAAAGTGGGCCAGTGTTGGGGCATTCACAAGACCTCTTGCACATTGTCAAAAACTTGTGCGGCCAGGAGGCAATAACCAGCCATATTTTGGCTTGGAAGGTGCCAAGAATCTCCCCACAGACTCTTAACTCACATGGTGCTGCCGTTCCAGAGCCATAAGCAAGAAGTCTCTGGCCCCGAGGAGCTTACAATCTGCATACCTGCTGCTGTGTGGAACTGGAGAACAAAGGATAGGTTGACAAGATGTTCTGGGGAGGAGGAAAGGTTTACGGACTGAAGTTCAGGCAGGTAAAGCTTTGCGGTGCTTCCATGGTGAATCTGCTGTGGACGTTCCCCCCCCCCCGCCTGCTTGCTCCTCAGTCCCCATCTCCCCCCCCCAAAAAAAAAACCCTGCTAGAGCTGTCATGTTCTTTGAAGCAGCCCTTTGCAAGAGCAACCCTCTCATCTGGCAGCGGAGGGTGTGGAGAGGAGAAAGAAGGAGAGGAGGATGGCACTATTGATCTGTTAGATTACTCAATTTCGCTCGTATCGATCAGGTAATTGCTTTATCTAGGTTCTCATTTGGACACTGCATTACTTTTTCTCCTCTTCCCTAACCAACAGCACCCACCCCCCTGGGTGGCTAAACGCCTTCTCCTTAAAGTGTGGGGCAAGGAGGAGGACATGCTCAAAGAGCGTTGGCTCCATCCGAGAGATGCGGCGGAATCAGGGAGGGGGTGGCAGGCAACCCCCCCCCCAAGAGCATCCAGACCAGACCCTCTGCTCCAGCCCGGCTTTTCGGAAGGAGACTGATCGGCTTCTAATACAGGAATGCGGACCAATGCCTTATCAGCACAATCTCTTCCTTGCCACCCCATCTCCACAGCCACACCCCCCCCCAAAAAAACCTATTGCATTTTGCCTCCTGAACCCAAGAACAGAATCCCTTGATTGTGGAACAACCTGTCATTCACAAAAAGTCACAACGACATCGGGTGCAAAGGGCTTTGAAGTTGGTACAAAGTTGCATTTTGCCTCCTGAAGCCAAGAACAGAACCCCTTCATTGTGGACCAATCTGCCATTCACAAGATGTCAAAATGACATGGGGTGCGAGGGGCTTTGACATCCCAAAGTTGGTACTTCAAAGCACTTTGCCAGGCGCCGCTGGAACGAAAGGGTTTTGCAGGAGATTCCTGAATCAGGAAGGGTTTTGCATGGAACCGTGCGGGACTGAACAGGATTTACCGTATTTTTCGCTCTATAACATGCACCTGACCATAACACGCACATCGTTTTTAGAGGAGGAAAACAAGGGAAAAAACATTCTGAATGAAACAGTGGATTTATCATTTTTGTGCTTCATGCTGTGGCCACAGACATGTGATCTGATGGTGAATTTGGGGTGACCCAATGCAAAAATCCTGAGAATCCCTGTGGATCCATGCTTTGTAACCACGTTTTAAGTGGGGAGGGAAGGAAAAACACAGAACGGACAAGGAGCACGAGAGGGGTGTGCAGAGAAGCAGCTGGCTAAGAATGCAGGAGAGGGGTATAACGGGAGGGAGGAAAGGAAGGCAAAAGTTTTCCCTCACCTACCCACCCAAGCCAGCCATATCTCTCTCTCTCTCTCTCTCTCTCTCTCTCTCTCTCTCTCTCTCCCTCTCTCTCTCCCTCCCTCCTGCATGTTTTCAGCAGCACCGGAGCACAGAGACGACACTCTGCTTTCCCCTCTGCTTGCCTGGAGGGGAGGGGCTTTCCCTGCTCTTTGTTCCGTTTGAGCAAGGACACAGAGGAGGGTGGGCAGTAAGACCCTGAGGCAGAATGCAGGAAAGCAGCCGCTTCCTCTTTTCAGGTTTCCCTTCTCCGAGACGTGCCATTCGGCTCCAGGGACCAAACATTCGCTCAATAACACGCACAGACATTTCCCCTTCCTTTTTAGGAGAAAAAATCTGCGTGTTATAGAAAGGAAAATTACAGCAACCTGTACTTGCCAGCTGACAAATGGAAGAGAGGGGTGTAGGGACTTAAATCCTGCTTCCCCCCTGGGGAAAAGGGCCTTGCTGGATCCTCCTGGTGGGCTGAGGTTCACCACTTGCGTCCTTGGTCAGCACTCTGACTGCTACACCACGCGGGCTCCAAACTCCATCACTTGCCCCCCAACAGCAGAGGGCATGGGAGAACCACCAAGGGACTGCTGGAGGGGCTCAGAGGAAGAGTGGGGGGCTGCTCCCCGATGTGCCTGCTTGCCTGTGCCAGCGGACTGGGATGCCCTCGCTCCCATGGCTGGCCTGAGTACTGCGTCTGCCAGGAGACGCAGAAGTCTCAGCGCCAGTCGCAGCCAGCTGCATGTATTTCCAGAGGGCCTTGTAATGGGTTTTTGGGCTGGCGGCTCAGCGTCTCTGAGGTGGGGCGCCTCCTGGCTGCCACGCATCCCTACCCACCGGGCTCCTGGGTCCAGCAGGGTGGCAGCTAGCCAGCCGTTCTGTCTCTGCCCCCACCCACTTCCACAAATGTCTCCTGCCTCTGCTGAATCACGCCTGCTTCACCCTGGGGAACTCCTTCCCTCTGACCCGAATCTTCAGGGAGGGGCAGCCTAAGGCCAAAGCAACCGGCTTGTCTACCCCTGGGGCCCCACAGAGGGTGGTTCCCCCGCTGCTGCTTCCTCTTCTTTCTTCTGGGCCAGAAAGGTGCTAGACCTCTTGATCTTCGGAGCGTTACTTGGCAGCCTAGAGATTCGCCGCTTTGGCTCATGACCAGTTCAGTGGCAAATCGCATGCCTTGCCTTCAGAGAGTGTCAGGTTCAATCCGAGCTCATGGCAATTCCAGGTAGGGCTGCCTGAAACCTTTGACAGCCACCTGCCGGTTAGAGTAGACAGTACTCAGTGACACGGCCCTGATTCAGTACGCAGCTGCTTCTTACACTCCTGTAACCCTAAGAGTTGCATTTAGGTGCAGGCAGAGACTTTGGCAGTGGGCACAGCAGCCATGAAAAGCATCACCACCACTCTCTCTCTCTCACACACATATGGAAAGTGGGAACTGTAGTTTTCTAAGGGTGCTGGGGACTGTAGTTCTGTGAAGGAGAAGCCACATTTCCCAGGATTCTTCGGAAGGGAAAATGTGCTCCAAATGCGCCATCTGTTGCTGGCCACGTTGCAGGCTGCTGAGGCATCAGTCCTGGGTTTAGGCAGCGAGGACGGGCGTAGCAGGATACGGGATTTGTAAGGCTGTCGGCTTTAAAACAACAACAACCCACTTTTAATTGGTTGTTACTTTAGCCGGCTATTTAATTAGGCTTTGTGCTTTGGGTTTTCCATTGCATCTCCCCAGGAAGTCTTTTCTGATGCCATCTCAACAGAAGCACCCTGTTCTGCCGCAGGTGCAATTTGGGTGCTCTTAGGGTGGGCATGGGGGGGGGCTTGTAACTAATCCCACAGAACAGCTGTCACACATATACACACACACACACAGAGACCACCCTACCCACTTCCCAGCCGGCTGCGTCTATAACCTCACAACACACATCAAAAGCAAGTGATTTGGCATTCCTTTGTGACATATACAGCCAAACCGTCGGCTTTCAAGAGAACCCTCAACGCAAGCCTGGCAAATCTGGAAGTATATTTGATGATCTGGGAGAACTGATAAGTCTTTACTTGGGTTTTGCTGTTTTAACTCATGTGCAACTACTCGTTCGACGTGCCTGTTTTACAGTTTTGCTTTCCGTCTTTTAATTTTTGTGCACAGTTATAATTGTTCTCTCTGTTTTATATACAGTATAAAATCGAATACTAAAACATGACCAAACCACACAAACACACACAAATCAAAAGCATTTCAGTGTTCAGGTGTTTTGGAGTGTGTGTGCGTCAAGTATACCCAGTTTATTCGCCTTAAGGCTGCAGGTCTGGAATCTGCGAAGAAGTGTCTGGTGGCAGGTAGTGGTTAAAAGTGTTGGACTTGGGATGCCAGGGTTCAGACTGCCACTCAGCCATGAAGCTCACTCACTCACAACCTAGGGTACCTCAAATGTTGTTGTGAG